CACCCAGCCCCACTGCCGACACAGCCGGACATGGAATCAGCCAATCGCCTGCTGGACACTGCGGTCAGAACGAGTCCAAAAGGGACAAAACCTCAGTGAATCACTCCAGGTGTAGACCTAGGACCTAGAGTGATGATGTGCAAACCGGCAAACGTCAAGTCAGCATGAGTCAGTCAGGTCTGAAGCTCCTTCCAAGGTAAGGACTCAGGGAGCTGGCCTTGGCAGTCAATTTCCAGCAGAAGCCAGCTTCCTTCTGAGTAACCAAGCCAGTGACAGAGATGAGGATTTGCTCTGCACTTCGGAGGTTGCCACAGCCGACGAGCAAATCTGGACCTCAAGCACTTGCAAAGAAACAGGTAAACAAAGTGTCACACAATGGCCAATGGGTTCAAAGTCCATGAATTCAAGGACATTGCAAATACCATCTTCCAACAAGTTTGGAGCCCATCGCTTTCAGCTGCCGCATATGTGGCATCATTGCCTGTGCTTTGGGATAGCGTTCCAAGACACAGCAATTCAATCGCACCCCTCAGCAATAGAGATCACAACCGAAAAGAACGGTGTTGCTTAGGAATCAAAAGAGCAGAATGCTTGTGGGGAACAGCAGGTAGCTCCAATATCAAGATTCCCTGAACCCACTGAATCCCCTACCTGGTCAGCGATCCCTGTTGCATCCACGACCTTCATACCAAAGCCTGAATGATGACATGCAAAACCTGCTTCAAACAACTCCTCTCTCTCTCTATCTCTCTCTCTCTCTCTCCCTCTCTCTCTGTCTCTCTCTCTCTGTATCCCTCTCTCTCTATCTCTCTCTCTCTCTCTATCTCTACCTCTCTCTCCCTGTCCCTCTCCCTTTCTCTCCCTTTCTCTCCCTTTCTCTCCCTTTCTCTCCCTTTCTCTCCCTTTCTCTCCCTTGTTCTCCCTTTCTCTCCCCTCTCTCTCTCTCTCTCTCTATCTATCTATCTATCTATCTATCTCTATCTCTCTATCTCTCCCTCTCTCTCCCTGTCCCTCTCCTTCCCTGTCCCTCTCCTTCCCTGTCCCTCCCTTTCTCTCCCTTTCTCTCCCTTGCTCTCCCTTTCTATCCCTTTCTCTCGCTCTATCTCCATTCCTCTCTCCCCCTCTCTCTCTCTATCTATCTATCTATCTATCTATCTCTCTCTCTCTCTCTATCTCTCTCTGTCTCTCTATCTCTCCCTCTCTCTCTCTCCCTTTCTCTCCCTTTCTCTCCCTTGCTCTCCCTTTCTCTCCCTCTCTCTCCCTTCCTCTCCCTTCCTCTCTCCCCCTCTCTCTCTCTCTCTCTCTCTCTCTCTCTCTCTCTCTCTCTCTCTCTCTCTCTCTCTCTCTCTCTCGCTC